CTGCCCCTCTCCCCCATCTGCAAGTGCACTCTCTCTTAAAAAGAACAAATACATATATATATTCTTTTAAAAAGTATATATGTTATATATTTTTACATGTAATGTATATATGTTATATATAAAAGTATACATTATATAATGTATACATTTATATATAACATATATATTATATATAAAATATATATCTTCTTTATATATAAATGTATATACATACATACATATATATATATTCTTTACAAATTTACCACCTCCCACAAAGTAGAAAATTCCGACAGCTAAATTTTCTGTGTGCAAATAAGACTATCTCTGAAGGAAAGAACAAAGTTGAGCCATTAGGAAACGCCTGGGCTTCTTTCTCACACGGAAGAAGGCTTCTGAGCTGCAATGACTTTACAGAAGACACCCTCTCGTGCTGCTGAACACCAGACTCGTCCGCAGCTCTGCACACCGTCTCCTGTTCGCCCATGCTCATCTTTGCAATTTCTATGAACACACTGTTTTGTGTTCTGCGCTACTTCTACCAACTTGCTAATTAATCCAGTGTCCTAATTAACGGACATTTGGATTATTTCCAGTTTCCTTCCCAGCAAATCACTAGACCTGTTACAGGCTGAATGTTTGTGGACCCACCCCCAGCTCATATGCTGAAGCCCTAACCCTCCCCCCGCCCCATGATGGTATTTGGGGGTGGTGCCTTTCAGGTCATTAGTGTTGGATGAGGTCCTGAGAGTGAGGCCTCCACGATGGGATTATGGTCCTTAAAAGACAGGAAGGGACCACAGAGCTCTCTCTCCACCGCATGAGGACACAGCAAGGAGGTGATTGTCCTCAACGAGGAAGCAGGCTCTTATCAGGAACTGAATTGGCCAGCACCTTGATCTTGGACTCGCCAACTTCCAGAACTGTGAGGAATAGGTTCCTCGTGTTTAAGGCACCCAGTCCATGGCGTTTTGTTTTAGCAGCTTGAGTTGACTAAGACAAGAGTCCAAAGTGACATGAGCAACTGCCAAACCCTCTGTCCGCTGGCTTCCATGCTTTTGTTAAGAGAACAGAGAGTGGAGCCATGTTGGCATCACGACAGTCAGGATGGTTGAGGGGGGAGGGGATTCACTTGCTCCTAAATCATTTGCGGGCTCTGGTGTGCCGGGGTTGGGGGGGTGGGCGTGCCTGTGGTGACAAGGATGGTGAGGGTAGGGGACACAGCACGGACCTAACAGCAGGATAATGTCAGAGGTGAAGGGGGGTGGGGGCGCCTGGGGGGCTCAGTCAGTTAAGCAGCAGACTCTTGGTTTTGGCTCAGGTCATGATCACCCGGTTTGTGGGTTCGAGCCCCGGATCGGGCTCTGCTCTGGGGGCAGAGCCTGCTCGGATTCTCTCTCCCTCTCTCTCTGCCCCTGCCTCTCTCGTGCTGTCTCTGTCTGTCTCAGAATAAATAAAACTTTTAAAAAAGAAAAAAAAAAAGGAGGTGAACCTGGACTCCCACCCAACAGTGAACACAGCCTGAGTGTCTGAAAAACCAAGCCCCTTCCTGAGGGGCCTCTCATTTTTCCAGCACTGGATTTTTAAAAATTCAAGTATAATTTATATGCAGTGTTACAAAAGTTTCAGGTGCACAGTATAACGATTCAACAATTCTATACGTTTCTCAGTGCTCTTCAAGATAGGTATACTTTCCAACACTGTATTCTGAGAAATTCCAAACCTACAGAAAAATTGTAAGAATTAAACAATTTTGAACTCACGTACCCTTCACCCAGACTCACCAATTCTTAACATTTGGCTACCTTTCCATCCTCTCTAGATATACACACCCACCTCGCGTGCATGTGTGTGTAACTATTAGAATCATAATACGTCGACCTCGGAACAACACGGGTTTGAACTGTGTGAGTTCACTTGCATGTGGATTTTTTTCAATAAATACAGCAAATGAAAAAAAAAAAAAAAAAAAAAAGAATCAAGATATGTCGCCCCTGAATGCTTGGGCAGCATTCTAAGAACAAGGACATGTTTCCGCATAACCACAACGCCAGCATCACACATAAGAAATTGATCATGGACACAATAAAATAATCCAATAAACCATTCATTTGAAACATAGCCCAGTTACCTCCGAGATGTTCTTTATGGCTCCCCACCCCCACCCAGAATTCAATCAAGGGTCGGTCGGGCATTCCGTTTGTCTGACTTGTCTCTTTGGTCTTCAATCTAGAAGAGTGTCCCTGCCTGTCCTGTGTTTGGGGACCCTGTCCCCACTCAACTGCTGAGCAGAGCTATGGCCCGAGCACTGAGAAGTCTGAGTTTTGGCACAAACCTAACTCTAGTTACTGTCTGAGTGACCTTTGACTTTCACCTGGACCACTGTTTGGGAATCCTACGACATAGTCTTGCTGGAATCCACACTTCTGTTAGGTAAGAAGCCTGGTGATCCTAAAATTATAACCTATACATCAGCACCAAAGAGCACTGTTTCCTGGCCTTCAAAGGGGCCAGTTCTTGTTTCTGACATCGCTGGCCATGATTCGTTGTGAGGGTGTGGCACGCCTGCACGCTTCCTCTGCTGCCCAACCCTACGCTCACCCCAAGGAGATACAAGAAAGAGGTTCTAATAATAGAGCTCTGCCCTCTGCCCAGCCTCCCTGCCCTGGCTGGCGGATCACCCCCCATGTCTTCAGTGTCTTAGCCCATCATGCTACTTTGCTCCCCAGCGCGGTGGGGACGCTTCCCAATGACCCACAGCCGCAGTGAGAGGCAGCTTCCTTGGGCTCTGGATCCTTCTCAATAATCAGCTTTGTGAGTCAAAGGCAGCAGCTGCCCTGAGCCCCACAGGCCTGGCAGAGCAGAGGATGATTGGATCAGAAGAACTGCCATTAGTCAGGCAAGGTGGCTACACACCCCCCCACCCCCCCAGGGTCCTTCCGCCTGCTCTCCAGGCTCCACAATATGATTATCAAAAGCAAGTAGTGTGGGACCTGCTCTTGAAAATGCCCCAGTCCACTTCCAGACAATTTCTCAACAGCTTCTTCCAGGGGTAATCCCACCACTAAGAAGGTAGAGTAGCGGGAGAGAGTGATAGGTGTCCCCTCCCCCCTCCCCAGAGCCTGATCCCGGGGCCTGAGGCACAGCACTGATTTAGTGTTTGCCAGCTGGCGTTGAGGGGGGCTGGGCAGCTCAGCAACGGCTGGGGACCCAAATCTGGGGACCCAAATCTACGAGGGAAGGCAGAAGCTCTGAGTGAGGAAACTGACTCCAATCAACATAACTCTTCGCATCGGGATGATCTGGGGACAGGGTGCCGCAGTGGGAGCATGGACACTCAGGCTCATCCGGCAGCTGCCCCGCGTGTGAAGCCCCGTCATGTGCTTTGTCCTTCAAAGCACCCACTCACCCCCCACAGGACGGGCATTTTCCCCAGAGGCAAATTGTGCTCTGGCTGCTCCGACCAGCAGCACTGAGCCCGTCCCACCAGATCTCGACTTGCTGAGGGTCCACAGGCCTTGCAGAGAGCTCTCTCCTGGGTGCTGTAACCCAGAGGGCCAAGGCATGACTGGACACCACTAACAGGCGCTGCAAACTTCAGTCTAGAACTTTCTGTGAAGTGATAAAGGGCCACTGTGTAAGCTGGGAGCAGGACTTGCTGAGAACAAGCGGCAGGCTGAGAACAGCCATTCGCCGCCCCTGTTCCCAGGAGGCCGTGAGTGCAGGCAGAATCCCAAATACGGGCGCGAACCTAACGCTTCAGCACAGGTCCAAACCCCACCTGCCATCCTCACGGATGAGGTCAGCGCGAACAGCAGGGCCTGTTAAAGCGGAGCCCCGGTCTTCTCCGGGAGGAATACAACAGCCCTCGCAGGCTGGTTAGAATCCGCTCTAATGACACAATTAGTCACCCACTTTGTCAAACAAAGCGCCTGCTCAGAGGGGTCCAGCACACTTACTCAGCAAAGAGAAACGCTGGGGCCCAGCCTCGCTGCCTTCTCCCTTGAAGGGCCCTCTCCAGTGTGAACCACTGTGTCCAGCAAAATTCAGAATGGGCCTGGCAGACACACTGACTGACAAGGCACTACAGCAGCCGGGTCAGTTTCTACTGCTCTGGAGGTCTATCTTCCCTTCCAAGAGGAGCTGGGGGGTTCATTCTGATGGGAGGGGGCTGGGTGGTAGCCTCCAGGGGCCCCGGGGGTGGGGGTGGGGTGGAAATCCCAGGAATGTGGGTTTCATGCCTTGCAAGTATGTTTCCAATGTACAGAGCAGCACTGGGAAAAGTGTATGGGGCTGGATGGATGAGTGCATATCTCTCTGGGTGTCCCGAAGCAAGGTGGCACCGTCAGGCCAAAGCTGATGGACCACACGGAGGGGGGGTTGGGGCAGAGCAGGAGAGCCAGTTTGGGGTGCTGAGCTGTGCTGGGGGGCGCTTTATCTTGCCCCTTCACTCCATACAACCCCGGGGGGAGATGCGCCAAAGCACGTGTGCAGTTTGAAAACGACAATAAAAATGACCGCAATGTGCAGTGCCTTTTCCTGCTGCCCCACCCTATGCGCTTCACTCCAGACATCAAGGACTCGAGTCTGGATTTCAAATTGGCTTAAAAAGAAAAGCCAGCTTCCCCCCCCCACCCCCAAGTGCGACTATTTTTTTTTCTTTATCGAGACAACTCTCAGTACTGCAGACCTCAGAAATGAGCCACACGCACGTGGATGCGGGACCCGGTGCGCCGGAGGGGTGCGGGGCGAGGGGTGGGTGTGACCCGCGCCCGGCCGGCGAGAGGGTCGCCAGAGGCGCACAGAACTCCGACAGCCTCGTCGCTCGGCGACACTTACGGGGGAGGAGGGCGCGTTTTGCTGGCGGGGCCTTCGCTCCCTGCCGGCCGCGGGCCCTGCGCTCCCCGGGGACCGCCCGGCCCGAGGCTGCGGCCTCGGTCCCCGGCCCCGCCCGAGCCGGGATACGGAGGGGGCGGGGCCCCGGGGTGGGGAGGGGGTGCCCGGGAGGGCCGGGTCCGTACCTGCCTGGCCTCGGCGGCCTGCTCCTCCGCCTCCGCCGGCGCCGCCGCGCGCTCCCCTGGGCCCTCGAGCTCCCCCGGGCCCTCCGGCGCGGCCGCTGCCTCCGGGGCGCAGGGGCCGGGCAGCGCGGGGGTCCCGGGGGCCTCGGTCGGGGGCGCGGGCTCCGGGCTCGCGGCGGCCCCGCGCCGCACCAGCAGCCAGGCGAGCAGCAGCGCCAGCGCCGTGGCCAGCGCGGGCAGCGCGGCCAGCAGCTCGGCCGGCGCCTCCATCGCGCCGCGGCCGCCGGAGTGCCAGCCCGCCGGGACCCCGAGGGAGCCGGCCTCGCCCCGCCCGCGCCCCGCCCCGGGGCGGAGCCCCCGCCGCGCCCCGCCCCCTGCCCCCCCCGGGGGGCGTGACTCCGATGCTGGGGGACCCGGGGCCTGACCCCTGGGGCGGCACTCCCGAGGCCAGACGAGCCCTACCTAGCCCCGTCCCGGGCCCCGGAGCCTTGCGCTTAGATTTTTGTTTTGAAAACCAGTTTGCAACACTCATTCCACGGGCGCCCTTGGATTACCGTCGTTTTCGGCCGCATTTCCGCCCGGCACACAAGGCCATCTCACAGCACTCGGGGACCGCCCGCGGGGGAGGGCATGCCCAGGCCCAGTAGGGCCGGAAGGCTCGTCTAAACCGTGGCTCTGGACAGCCTGCAAGACGGTGAAAAGCGGAGGCCAACCCCGCTCACTCCCGGCCACTCTCCGGCCATGTCCACGGCCTTTCCAGAGGACACTGCCCGAGCTGGCTGGTGGGATGCCCATTCTGGCCTGAGACCCAGCAGCCTTGTAACATGGCTGCCCCCCAAAGGCTGGTTTCTGGAATTCAGCTCCAGGTGCCTTGGGTCAACTCTGCACCCCTACCGGCTTCTCCTTTTTGAGTAATTCTGGAAGGTGGAATGGAGGGAAGTCTACTGTTTTTGTTTCTCCAGGTCCTTCTGGGGCTCTGTTGCTGAACAGTGTGTGTGAGACAAATTCGCTGTAGCCCAAAACGTTATTTCTCGAGCGCTCCCAATAAGCGTGGGGCTGACGGAGTTTGTCAGGTAACAGCTGAAAAATCAGGGTGCCGGTCTTTGCTTAGGATACACTTACTGCTTTTTGGGAAAAATTACAGGGCCTGAGCTGACATCTGGTGGGAGCCGAGAAGCTAGATGGACTGCAGTTTAAAGGGAAGATGCGAGTATGCGCTCAGGCTTCCTCCTGGCCTGGTTACAACCAACAGGCGAAAGGCAAGCTTCATCCCTGCCGGGAAGGGTACAGGCAAAGGAATTTCAGGGGTGACCGATGAGAAACACCCCCTCACTACAAAACGTGGAGTGGGGCTTCTGTCTTTGCTGCTGGCTTCTGACCCCAAGGGCACCTTCAGCCCAGGTGGGTTTTCTTTCTTGTCCCCTGTCCTCGCTGTTTCAAAGTTTCTATGTAAGAGGGCCCGCTGTGCAAACTCGGTCACATTCGGTGTCAACTATCAGGCGAATAACGAAGAGAAACAGGAACAAAACAATGCAAAAAACCCAAGTGCAAATCAAGTTGCTTTATTTAAAATGATGAACAAGTTTCATCCAAGTGAAAGTTAAAAATACCAGTCAAATGGCAGAGCCACAGGCATTTGGTGGCGGGGCCCACGCGAGATGAAAGCTGACGTGGGAAGCTGCTGGGTGTGGGTGACAGCCGCAGGAGGCTGAGGGCTCAGCGCACGGTCCCCGTCCTTCCGCACCGTCCAGTCGCCCTGGAGACAGCAGGCCGGGCCAGTGCTCAGGGGACTTGAGGAGTCTCACGTTTCTGAACTAACGACGAGAGTCACCACCCGAGGGGCCGGGGCCCAAGGTTTGTCCAGTTTTGCTGCGCAGAATGTGGATCAGCGGAACACCGTGACGGAAGGTGGGGAGGGGTGTGAGGAGAAGCCGGACTCCACGGGGAGGCATCGGCAGGACCCAGCACACATGACAAATGACTTGGTTGTGGAAACACTACACACAATTCGAGGAACCTACGGCTGTGCACTTACACACCTACGTCCTTAGAAAGCACTTTTTACGACACTTACTGCAAAACTCCTGTCCCGTCCCACACGCTTGTCTAAGGTCCTAAATCACATCCAGGCTCAACCTCTACAAAGTTCAGAAAGCAACTCGTACAGCAACTTTCGTGCTGATCCTTAGGTATCTTTCACTAATTTAGAGAGAGAAACCAAACACTTAGGGCACGGCTATGATGTTATTTATGTTCTTTTATGAAGACCTCATAAACTTGAATTTTGTAAGGTCTGAACTTGCTTTCCTGGCCGTGGAAATGGACGTGCTGGACTCTACCTACCCCGACCAATGACCCTTGGGAACCACGACACACTCACGGTCCCTTAACTCCACGAGGGGAGGGATCTGGGCTTGTCACTGCTCTGTCTCCTGCACCAGGACGCTGGCTGGCACTCACTCACAGGCTGAAGGCTTGAACGACTAATCAATGGGCATCTGCAAGCCTGAGCCAAATGTGAACAGTGTCCCTGCGTTTGGTGGCTCTCCCCTCAAAGGTGTCATCCTGAATATCCCAGCACTACTGACGACCCCAGAGACACCTGTGTATGGCACTGGATATGCCGCCTCATGGTAGGGCCTTTGGTGCTCACTCCCGAAGCCTGGGTCTCCCCCCGCCCCCAAACCCCGCTCCTATCAGACGTTAATGGTTCAAGAACCCTGTTCCAGGACCCAGCTTGTTGGTTTTAAGTTGAAGAATCCCTGGAAATAGTTTCCCGCGGTTTCCCTGCCTCACTACTGCTGACGGCACGCGGAGGGGCAGCTCAGGCCACGTGGGCAGAAGGGTTAAGGTCAGAACAGACGGCCCCGGTCCCCACTTTCAACCCTGTCCTGAGCGCCCGGCCATCACTCCACTCCCTTCCACGGTTTCTGCACCCTGTCCCTGCTTTATTTCCCATACTGGTGTGTTTGGCTGGCCCACGGTGACAGTGAGGGGGGTGGGGTGGGAGGTGCTGAATCCCGGCCTGGCTAAAACAAGACTGGCCCGTGGTCATCTGTGGGCCGGCGAGAGCCAAATGGCTGCATGTAATCTGTGTTCAGGTGAGGTGGCTGCGGGCTTGTCACATGAGCTGGGTCCCTTATTTCTGAGTGCTGTCTGTCAACAGGACTCACCCGCCCTTTGGCCTCTAGGGGAAGGCTTCTCTCTCCAATTCAAAGTCCCCTGTCGTGGCCACTGCAAACGTGCCCCACTACGCCCCCTGGCGGCAAAAAGCCTTTTGCTTTTGTGGATTTTCCTTTAAAAGGAGGTTTAGAAGGAAGTTGGTATGAAATTAAGAGCAAGGTGTGATAGCCCCGTAGCAATTCTGGGGAAAGAAAAAAGCATTTTGAAGCTGGCAAGAAAATCTTAAAAAGAAGGAGGGGAAATGCCATTTGGGTCTTAATGCAAACAGATTACAAGTTCTGTGTCTGACTTCACTCATGGCCACACACACCCAGGCACCGGGGCCGCCTGAGCCTGTGGCCCGGCGGGGAAAGGAGGGCAGGCGACAGGTGCCAATGCTGAGGACGGCGGCGGATGTTCTCCGTCCAATCTGGCCACTTTTTTGGATCGGCATTTGAGGATGCAGAAAACTAAGACCAAGCCGGGGCCCGGCCGCCAGGAGTAGAGCCACACAACCGGCCTAGTGTCGAGAAATGAGAACCAGTCTGTTAAAAATGCAGCCTCTGCACAGAAGAGCCATGGATTCCCCAGATCGAATCCACGTTCGGGAGGTATCTGGGGGAGGCGACAGCACACGACCCCGGGCTGCGTGCACTCACTTCGCTGCTCCTCAGGAGGCCCACAGTGAGAGCTCCTTCCGCCCTCTTGGCTGCTAATGCCCTCGCCCACACTGCCACCCAGGACAGGGCATGTTGCTTGGTGCTTCTGGCTGAGCGCATCCCTGCCAAGCCCCCTCTTACTGTTAACTTTAGTTGAATTTAGGGACGGATTAAGGGCAGCAGGTAAGAATGACGAGGGCCACGGAACCCACGATCCGAGCCCCAAGCATCCCTGCCGGAGTTACTGAGCAGCCTGGAGACGAGGAGCACCGTACACGAACGCATTCCAGACGTGCAGCCCAGACATGTCTGCTGGTCAAACAGGGACGCTCATCGTGACGTCTCTTACGGCGTGGGTCACGGGGTAGGGAAGGACAGGACGTGCCTGTTAGAAGGGGGCCCTGATCATCACCTACGTTCCATGACAGAACACACTGAATGCTTTCAGGCTCTGTTCCCACGTGAACCCCTGACGTGTCATCGCTCCCCCAAACACCGCTGGGATGTAAGAGGCTCTCTGATGGTGGAGAGAAGGGAACGTGTCACAGGGCAGCGCTCGCAGTGGTGAGTGGGGCCGCGTGTGCAGGGCTGGGTGGCTACCACTGAGTGCGGCTCCCGACCAAGGGTGACGGACAGGGAGGGGGCACCCGTGCGGTGCTTCTTCGTGTAACTGGCTCGCACACAAGTCTGAGTCCAGTTGCCCCTCAGGGCCCGCTCGTGTGCCTGGACGGCGGAGGCTCCACATCAGCGATCGGTGAGGGATCGGGCGCAGCGAGTCAGCGGGTCACGGCCCTCGGCCTCGAGGCAGAGCAGCGCGGATTAAAGGAGGCAGCACAGACCTTCTCACCCGACGGCCCGCGGGCCTTTGGCGCTTCGGGGTTCGCCAAGCCTGGTGAGCTTTTCAACTTCTTGGCCATCTAGTCTTAGGAAGCAGTGAAAACAGCATTTGACCGAAGACAGAAGCTGGGACCAGAGAAGGATTATCCAAATTCAAAGAAGACAGAGGAGAAGGAGGGAGCAGAAGACGTGAAAAGCAAGTCGGGTGGCCGCCAACCGCGTACGCAGGAGCCACCTCAGGGACAGTCTCTGTGTCTGCTCAGGGGTGAGCCCGGCCTCCACAAGTGTCCCTAATCCTGCCAAGGAAAAGTACAACCGCCTGTGATCAGCATGTAGACGGCAGAGCCGGCGCAAAGCTGGAAGGAAATGTTAAAGCCGAGCCCCGGGACCCCCCCGCGGCACGAGGGGCAGGGCTGTCCCGACCCCCTTCCCTTCTCCTATGAGTATGTCACATGTCACAGGCAGGCCGTAACAAGACAGACGCCTTAAGAAGGCAAGAAGAGACACTGGAGAGTGACCGTGAAGAGAACACCTGGCTTGAGAAATGCACATTCCATGAATTCAGGTGGACGGGACACCTGAGCTTCCCGTGGGATTCTGTGACCGCGGAGAAAGAGGGAAACAAACGGGAAGGAACGTGGGTGCTACACTTTCCCGACACACGGAAGAAGCGCCCAGCCGCGCGGAGACGCAAAGGACACAGGAGGGCGCCCGCGGCAGGCCAGGGCTCCGCGCACGTGAGGGTTGTGGGGGCTTCGGTATTAGGCCACCTTCCCGAGACCTCCCTCGTCACCACCGGTGCACCGCAACGAGCCCCAGGAGAAGAGGCTCACGGATCCGAAGCCCCGGGGAGCACGGGCGCCACCAAACCTTCCCCGTGAGCCCGTCGGGTGCCCAGCACAGGGCCGCTGCTGGCAAAGAGGTGACCCTCGTGATTCTAAGCGTTAGCTTACGGAGACCCGAGCCGGTGGGACCAAACACGGCAGACATGACAAGACCCGATAAAACACCTGAGCTCTTTGCTGCCGTCTCACTCGGCGGGAGCGCTCCAAGCGACAATGGCAGAGTGGGGGAAACCACAGGCCACACCCCAGGCTCTCAGAGGCAGCGGGGAACTCGACCGCGGCAACCAGCCCCTCCCTGCCGAGGGCACAGCCCGGCGGAGCCCGAGCTTTCCCCCGAGACCACGAGAGCAGCACCAAGGGGAGGCTTGTGGTAATTTCAAGGGGAAAAAATGGCGAAGATATAAAATGGATTGAATTTTTATTAAATAACATTAAGGGGTTCCTTGGCACCATCCACACAGATTCTCGCCTTGACGCGTAAGAGAAGCCACGTTAACTCGCGCTGGTCGCAGAGAAAAGAGCTCCTGCAGCAAACGCCAAGCGAACGGCCTCCTATCCCGAGCGTGTCCCCGCTCTCCGGCTTCTCCGGCCCTTCCCTCGGCCGCAGCTCCACAAGGCTGACCCGCCCCAGGGCCCTGCCCCTCGTGTGCCATGTCCTCCTGCACAGACGGCGGCCACGCGTGGTCACCTGGAGGAGCTGCGCTCTTTGCTCACACAGTCGTCCTGGGAGGTGGTGTCCCCGTTCCCCATCACGCTGCACGTCCTCCGCTTCTTCCTGCGGTGCGTCGCGCCGTCCCCTTCGGACCCGGACTCGCACTGCACGTGGGAGGAGAAAAGGACTTTAACCAGATGCAACCCGTTTTGTAGGTCAACAGGCCTCCGCCCTCAGGACACGGCACGGCTGTCCGAGCTCTCCCAGAGGCGACGCGGCCCCAGTGCCCAGCCCCGGAGGGGTGTCCGGCTCCCCAAGCCCGGCAACTGCCCCCAGACGCCAGGGGCCCGGCCAGCGCTCCCGACGGGAGGCTTGTTTAGAATCAAGACGTGCTCTGAGGCCATTCTACAGTCAGCTCGAACACAGACCCCGAGGGGGAAAGCGAGGGCGCGTGGCCCTGCACGGTCACGCTCCTCTGTCCCCCGAGGAACGCCAAACCGGTAGATTATGCAGAGTGGCGAGCTGGGACTTTCATCTGCTGAGGACACAGCCAGGTCCCTCTCCCCTAAAACGACATCAGCTTTTAACAAGCCGCCGGACTTGCGCGGTTTCTGGGCTCCGGATTTACACCCAGGGGGAAACTTCTCAGCCCGGGCTCTGAGCTCGCAAGGCGCCGAGTCCGCAGGCCCACGCTGCCGCTCGCTGGCTCTGAGATCCCGGGCCGCTTACTTAACGAAGTCCCCGAACGCTCCTTCTGCCTCCCAAAGTTACTGTAATGACCCCCACGCGAGCGCAGGGCTATAAACTGGGCAAGATTCACCGCACAGCAGGGACGCTGGCGGCCGTGGCCCTCGGAAGCAGCAGCTCTGTGTCCTGTCCCGGCCAGGGGGGCGGGGGGCAGCAGCCGCCCAGCCTGGGCGGCCCGGAGAGGGAGCAGGGCCTCACCTCTGAGTCCGAGTCAGACGAGCTGGAGCTGGAGGAGCTGGAGGAGTCGCTGGAGCTGTCGGAGGCAATGCCCGTGGACTCCTGGAGGTCAACGGAGTCGGCCAGGGCCGCCAGCTCGGGGTGCTCTTGCTTCAAGATCCTGAGGGACAGGAGACATTGTTCCCAGCGCTGGGACCGGCAAGCACAGCGGAGCGCGCTCCCCCCGAGACTCAGAGCGGAGGCCGGTCCCGCTCAGGAGCGCCCGGGGGTGCCGGCCGTGCTGAGCGCACACGTGCTGAGAGCTCGGGCTCTCCCGCAGGGCGACCTAGCGGCACGCGGCTCGCTGTGCCCTCGGCAAAGGCGCCAGGCGCAGTGCCCACGTGTGGGGCACAGTGGCCCTGAGTCAGGCTGCATTTTCTTTCACCTGGGAGCAAAAGTCTCTCTTCCTCGTTGTGGCTGGTTTCTTTCTTCCTTTCCTAGTGGACTTCCTAAGCCCTTCCTTTCCACGACACAGCGTTTGGTGACCTCAGTCAGTTAAGTTCCATTTGTAAGTGGGGCAACAATGAGACTTGACGGGAAACAAGCAGCGGCAAGTAACAGAGGGTTCCCCTCGCTCGAAGCTAAAACTGAACTGGCCTTTCGGAGGCAGGAACCCTCCCCTCAGGGACCTGCTCTGGCGTCCGCTCTAACCTGGGGCAGGGCACCTGCTGTACGCTAAGGCCTTCAGTTCGACCGGGTCACAGCACACAGCGGCTGGTGGGATGACGTAAGCGGGCCTCGGGTGCCCGAGAGTCCGGGGAGAACGCAGCCACCACCCTTGCTGGCCCTCTCAGCAGGCAGGCTGAGCGCTGACCAAGCCAGGACCCCGCTCTTACCCCGAGAGCTGGTCCCTCCAGGTCAGGGTTGGGACACAGTGGCACGGGGTGGCTGGGGGTGACTTGCACTGCCGCTGCCCGTGCTGTATCTGTTCTGTGGATAAACAGAGGAGCTAAGTCTCCAGGGCAGTCACCTCGCTCACGAGAACTGAAGGTAATAAGTTCAAAGGGGAATAATGCTTCTGAGTGGGGGTGGGGGAGGGGAAGAAAGAAAGAACCAAAATAAAACCCAAACAAAATGGCTTCCTTTGCTAAGTGCTAGCTTTTGGGGGGGGGGGGGCAGGTGGCAGAGGAGGGAGAACAAAAACCAAAAACAAAACAAAAAACGAGAAACAACCCGATTATGACCGTATTTTGACTGACTGGCTTTGATGAAACATGCACAGTCCTACGCTGTCACCTCGAGGCTGGCAAGCAGCCTGGGAACTAGCCCTGACCTTGGACCCGCCGTCCTCTGCCCGTGAGGTCTCGCAGCCCCAGCTCTCCCAGGCCTCAGACCAGCACACGTTCCTGCGGCGGTGGACTCTTTCTGTTTCGCCTTGAAATGGAGCAAGAAGAAGAAGAAAATGTCTCTCACCTGTACCATTTCCTCGATAACTTTGGTCTTCCTCTTACCGTCTTGTGCCATACCACGGGGAAGTTGGTGCTGCTGGCAAAGTTCTGGGTGATGGCAATGGTGGTGTCAAGATTAAGGACAACATGCCACCAGCCCCCTGGAATCCAACAAATCAAGAGTGAAACGGGGCTTGGTTCTACGTGGAATCACGAATAACAAAAACTCCGCGAATGGGGGGCTTCCTATCTACGGGGAGGGACTCAGAGACAGAAGACCCAGAGGGGTAAATGCTTCCCCTGATCCAGGCGTCACAACCAATGCGTGTAAACTTGTCCTGGAGCACAGTGGTGCCTGCTCAGCCCCTGTCTGCGGCTGCTTTCCTGCTCCAAGGGCAAAGTGAGGGAGTTGGAACCCTGTCTGGCCCCCCCACCCCCACGCTTGAAACATTTACGCTCTGCCCTTTACAGAAAAAGCACGGGGACTCCCGTTGATCCAACACTGTGATCAACACTGTAAAAGCAGGGGCGCCTGGGGAGCTCAGCAGGTTGGGCGTCTGACTTCGGCTCAGGTCATGGTCCCACAGTTCCTGGGTTTGAGCCCTGAGCCAGGCTCTGTGCTGACAGTTCAGAGTCTGGAGCCTGGTAAGGATTCTGTGTCTCCCTCTTCTCTCTCTGCCCCCTCCCCCACTCATACTCGGTCTCTCTCTCTCTCTCAAAAATAAATGTTAAGAGAAAAAACGGTTTAAAAAAAAACTGGAAAAGCAATAAGTTCTCCAGTTTCTAAGAGAAGAATACCTATCTTAAATATGAAACACCCTCGCTCTTGACACTTAATCTATGAGAACAAAGTGTAGTTCTCAGGTATGGGACTTCCTGCCTCTTGGGCCTGAGTTCCTATTCCGGCCTCAACCCAGGCAGTGCTACACTGTACTAGAAACCCAATTTGCAGAAATACGCACAAGTCACTGCACATCCGCAAAGACCCTAGGTGACTACCAGGGATGGAAACAGCACCATCTTTACATGCAGGAAGTTCACCGACAGCCACCAGAGCTTCAGGTTACACGAAATGTGGACAGCACCTCCCTAAGCACTTGAGGACACAGCGGCGGACGCCGCTGTCTGAGGCGGGCCCCAGTCAGTTCATTCCGGGTCAGCGCGCAGAGGGATCTCTGACTCCTTCTGCATTTACTTCGGCTCCAAAATGACAGCTGACTGAGATCAAAGAGCGTACTTTCTGTCCGTTCTCTATACCTGGTACGAAGACGGTCTCTCCCGGTTTTTGTAAGATCTCCAGGGGTTTGAACTCGGGCGGCCAGGTGGGCAGCTGTGTCCGGGGGTGAATGACATTAAACCAGGTAATAGCTTCGTCTTGCTGGTTCCCGCCTTCTTCGCGGGTCACCTTGATGAGCTCCCTGGGCGTGCTGGTGGGAAAGAGGCACCAGCGCTTGTGGCCCTGAACCAAGGCGTTCCAAGCACTGGTTCCCAGAGGGTCGATGTGAATTCCGGTCCCGGAGCGTGGTGGCCCCATCACAAACCACCTGAAGGGCGGAAACGTCCAGGACATGAAGGGTAAATTAACAATATGCACACACACACTGGAAAACGGTGAGCTCTGGGTCTTATAAAGCACATCATGTGATCTCTATATCAGAGAGTACGCAAACACTGCTACTCAGGATCGCTAAATGAATGGTGCCTGGAGCGCTCCAGGACAGAAAAAAGAAAAATCACTGACGTGGCTTACTACTGGCCTTTAACTATTAAAACTTCCCTCGGGACGCCTGCGGGGCTCAGTCAGTTAAGCATCCGACGTCGGCTCAGGTCATGATCTTGAGGTTTGTGGGTTCGAGTCCCGTGTCCGGCTCTATGCTGACAGCTCAGAGCCTGGAGCCTGCTACGACTCTGTGCCTCCCCCTCTCTCTGTGCCCTTCCCCTGCTCACACTCTGTCTCAGCCTCAGAAATAAATAAACATAAAAAAATTTTTTTTAATTTCCCTTAAAAGATTAGTGACTCAACTCGGCTGGCATATTTGAGTGACCTGGAAGCCTTCTGAAATCCTGATGCCTACATGGCAACCCAGACCAATGAAACCAGTCTGCAGCAGAAGGGCCTGGTCAGGCAGCAATAAGCCCCTAAGTAAGTTCCATGTGCAGCCAAGGAGAACCACTCACTGTTCTGGAGAAAGGTTAGCTGACTGTGCTTAGATGACACATATTATTGTACAGAAGAGCCAATGGGCCTCACCCCCGGGGGGTACTTTACCTGTAAGGGGGCCTGCGTTTCTCCCCAGCATACTGGAAAAGGTCATCAGTGAAAAACTTGGGCACCTTGTAGTCTTCCAGAAGTTTCCTTCTTTTGGGGTGTTCACCATAGCTGCTGTCAAATATGTAAAGGGGGCTGTCATCTCGAGTCGTCTCCATGTACTCAATGTAGTATTTCATCTTCATCTTCACTGAGTAACCGTCATTATCCTCACCGCACTTGAACTTCTGGTTCCGGTATTTCCTTTTTAGGCGCTCCAGGGTCCATTTCTCCTGCGCAGACCAGCCCTCCTGGGCATTCAGCAGAACCACGGGCTTGTAAGGTCTTTCATATCGCTCCACAAATTCTTCCACCGACAGCTGTAATGCGTCTGCCCTTTCCACGTTATCCTGGGGGAATCAAAAAAAAACCTATCTAGTTAAAAAAAAAAAAAAGAAAAAGAAAAAAAAAAAAAAAGGCAACAAAACAAAAAGTCCAGCGGTAGAAAACGGCGTCCCCCAGGACCAGTTAGACATACCTAAGAAGCCAGATTCTTGTTCCGGCTTATCTTGCGTGAGGGAGGGCGGGTGGAGAGGAAGGGACAAGGACCTGCGTGCGGACTGACACGTCGCACCCAGCGCCGCCCCACGAGGAAAAGGGGGTTTCGCCATCTCCCACTCGCGGGCCTTGACAGCCAGGTCCCAGAGGGCCCCGCCGCCCCAAGGCGTCTAGGGGCGACAGTCCTTGTTGAGGGCGCCAAAGGCGTCAGCTTCCAGATGCCCCGGGCGGGAGGCAGGAGGCGGTCCCTGGAATCCGGGCCCCGAGGACCCCGACCTCCGCGGGGTGCAGGTGAGCCCATCGGAACCCGGGGGAGACGCCCGTGCCCGGCCCGCGACCCCGACCCCGGCCCGCTCACCGCCACGGCCGCCGGGTTCAGCGAGTAGCTCTCGTAGTAGTTGTGACGGGTCCAGTCCAGCGAGTCCTTGAGCTCCGGCCGCGCACTCCGCTTGGCCTCGCGGATCCGCTTCTTGCTCTTGTGGTTCATCTTGCGGGGGTACCGGCTGCTCCCGCGACGACCTCGGCAAGCTCGCTTCCTGCTTCCAACGCGCGCCCTCCCCGGCCCGGGCGGCGGCGGAGGCGGCGGCGGAGGCGGCGGCGGCGGCGGCGACAGCGACACCGGAACGCCCTTCGCGTTGGCCCGGCGCCTTTAAAGCCGCCTTCCAGAAGATTCACTCCCCAACCACCTCCCGGGCCTCGGGTTGGGCACGCGGCGGCCGTCTTCCCCGCCCCCCGGCGTCTCGCGGTGAGCCATTGGTTTGGGCGCCTCCGGGGTCCGCCCTCACACTCGCCGGCTCGCCGCCATGTTGGGAAGGTCAGGCCGACGGAGGCGCTTTCTCACTGCGGTCCCGCCTCTCCCGCTTCCGCTTCCGCTGAGTGCGTCACTTCCGGAAGCGAGCGCTTACCTCCGCGGCCCGTTTCCGGCGTGGGAGCCTCCGAGGCCATCTGTCTTTCCTGTCTCTTTTGCCTGGTCTCTGGGCACTTCTTGCCGCCCGGCCACACGGTCCCCCGAGGGGTGCTTTCCCCGCCCTTTGCTGTCGCGTTGCAGCGACCCGGCACGGCTCGCGAAGGGCCACGTGGCGCCGGTGAGGTGGCTCCAGCCGGCCTGGGGTTTCCCGCGCGCGCAGCCTGGCAACCTGGCGCCCTCCGCTGCTCGCGGCCCGCCCGGGGGCCACCGACTCCCCCACGGGCGAGCGTGGCCTCCGGGGGCATGTGGTCCGCGCCCAGCGCTTTCGGTTCTCAGAGGAGCCGGGCCGGGGGGCCGAGGGGACGATGCTTGAGGTCAGCGTCCCGCAGGTGCGTGCAGCGGCACCCGACGGGGGGACGCCTCCCGCCCCCCGGCGGTGGCGCCCCCGGCAGGAGCTGTTCTCAGCCCACCGGGGAGGGAGGGGGGTGTTGGGAGGGGGCGGCGGCGGGCTCCGCGACCACCCTGCCGAAGGAAGGGCCTCCGAGCGGGAAGGTTTGTGGTGGGAAGCCCTTTGGCAGTCTCAAAGTAAGAAACTTGGGGGCCCTGCCAGGAAAGAGAGCCTTGGGCATCAAATATTTCCTGCCGGAAAAGTGACATTTTGGACTCCGAGGACTTCCTTTGATCTTGTTGAAGGGCTTCTTCATTCAGCTTTGTCTAGAACCGGGAAGTCTACCCTCCCTAGCCAAATAAAGTCTACCCTCCCAATCCAAATGGGTTGGCTCTCGTTCCTTTCAGCTTACAACTGCCCCCAAACTCTCAGTAATAATAGTAATACCTTATGCGTCCGTTTTTTCGAAGCATTTTCGACGTGGCAGTGTTTTGATTTTAACAAAACACTGTGGAGGGGCGTCTGACTTGATTTGGGCTCAGGTGGTGATCTCAGCTCAGAGTCTGCTTGGGGTGCTCTCTTCCCGCTCTCTGCTCCTCCCCCACTCAAATTCGCTATTTTAAAGATGAAAAATGGCGTAAGAGGAGGTAGTCTTGAGTGAAACCCGTTTCTAAGTGCTTTCAAATGCCTTCACGTTGAAATACCCACTTGATTTCTTCCCGCATTTAGGAGGTGAAGATGTACCCCATGAGACGATAGACCCCTTTACATCCCGATCTGCTAACTCACTGCTGTGATCAGAAGCCCTTTAATGTATCCTGAGTAGAATTTACCAGGGCAGGCATTTTATGTTTTTTTTTTTTTAATGTTTTTATTTATTTCTAGGAGAGAGAGAGAGAGAGAGAGACACAGCGTGAGCAGGGGAGGGTCAGAGAGAGAGGGAGTCACAGACTCTGAAACAGTCTCCAGGCTCTGAGCTGGCAGTCAGCACAGAGTCCGACGCGGGGCTCGAACCCACGAACCGCGAGATCATGACTTAAGCGAAAGTCGGACGCTTAACCGACTGAGCCACCCAGGCGCCCCCAGGGCAGGCATTTTATTCACACTTAGAACCAGTGCCTAGCATGTTTCAGGCACTAAAATTTTGGTGAGGTTATTGAATGATTGAGTTCCGATCTTCAGTTCCTTCACCTTTGGTACTTTGACCACTTCAACGCCCTTGCAGAAAGGGTGCAACAGAAAGACTTGCGGTTTTGCAGTCTTTTTAATAACCGCCCACTTTGTGTGCTTATTTTGTGCCTGGCACTGTACTGAGTTTGCGGTGGCTCTTCCAAGGCACCCCTATGAGATAGTGTTTTGTAGTGGAGGAAACTGAAGCACAGACAGGTTGAATAACAGGTGAGGTCACACAGGTAGTAAGTTACATACCTGGAGCTTGAACTCAGGCAGGCTCCTTCCAAAGGCGTGAGCCGTGTAATTTGCTTCCCTAACACTGCTCGCTCGTAATTCTAGGCCTTTCCAAAGGCTCTGTATGCTACCTGCCTACCTAATCCCAGAACTGAGCTGCTCTCAGACCTCTTCTGGAATGTCTCCCTAGCCTGTTTCCCAGGAGCTTACCAAACTGCCTGTGATTATAATCCTCTGATACGTTCTTACCGCACTTACAATAAAAGCTAAACTTCCTCTGGCCTTTAAGACCACGCGCAGGTCCGGTCTCTGCCTTCCCTCTGACCTCTGTGCTACCACAACCCTGTCCCCAGCCCCCGTGCCCTTGCTCTGGGCGCTCTCTGCGGTCCCGGACCCTTGCCTGAATCATTCCCTCTCCCTATCTAGGACGGCCACCTTGTGATCGCTGTCTCCCCATTCTTCCCCGCCCCCACCACTCTCACATCATCCGGTTTTGTTGTTTGTTAGCATTATCACCCACCAAAACTACGTTTGCTTACTTGTGGCTTGTCTCTTCCCAGTAGGGTCTGTATGTGTGTATCTGGTATATTCCATGAGCCTTACATCCACAGCCCACAAAGTCACTCAGTCCCTGAATAAATGCTTGTTGGATGAATGAGTGTATGAAGAGCGGCTATCCTGTGGTATTGCAGTTTTATGTGCCCCAGAGGATGTGAACTTTACAGCAGGGAGCTGTCATTTTTGTAATAGATGCCAGCGTCAGGCACTCCGTAATTGCTGTAAAAATAAATATTCCAACTTCCAGCAGAGGAGTTATTTTTGGCCTACAAAACATTCGTTTCAGGTCCTGCATCTCCAGTATGGAATGTACATCTGGCCCTGTGCGGTGGTCCTGGCTCAGTACCTGTGGTTTCACAGAAGATCTCTGCGGGGCAAGGCTGTCCTGGAGGTACAAGCGCCGAGGCTTCCAAAACTCCTAGATTTTGTCTATGTACTGGTTACTGGCTTTTGTTCAATACTTTAAAATTGGAATGATTTGGCCAGTTTGTAAGTTATGTGAGCTAAGAATACCTTTTCCATTTTAAGTTTTGAAAAAGGGACATGTACCAGAGACCCCAGGAGACCCAGCAAGACTGAAATATTTATCCTCTGGCCCTTTACAGTTTGCTGACTCTTATTCTAAGTGAAGCTCACTGACTAATTTTAATTCTAGAATCTTGGTATCGAAAGCAATCCCTAAGGCCATCTCTCCAAGGTGTCTCAGTCAGGGTCTCCTGTGACCTGTGCAGTCTCCCAAAAAATGGCCCTTTCCGTTTTTGGAAATCTCAAATGTCCTATACTCTTTCTGATCACTCTACTCGACTTGGGATTGCTAACCGCTTAGAGAAATAAACCTTTGTCAAATTTACAGAGATGGTACAATGCTTAAACCCAAAGGCTGAAGAAAAATCCAAAATTTACTAGGAACCTCTGAGCTTTTGCAAAACCACGTAGATGAGCGGGTGAAGGCACTTGGCATACTGTATCTGGCCAATTTGTAGACGTTCAGATAGACTCTTCCCCATCTGTCCTTAAAACTGGGAAGTGGGAAACTTGTGCTTTAACCAAATAGACAAAGGCATTCCTTGGTTATCACTTAGTGTGCTTAAGACGCGTCTCTTCAAAGGCCCAACTGGAAAATTCCCTCTAGTATGAACCCTGTTGCAGATCTGTGGGCTTTAGCCACATTCAAGGGGCTACAATTGGTAGGAACAGCCAGAATGGCTATGTATGCACTAAGTCACCCATCAAGCTTCTAGAGACCCAGTGTCCCATATAATTAGGAGCTCCTTTATGGACTGTTAAGAGAACTAAAGGACACTAGTGTCCAAACTGCCTTAGGCGTATTAAGCAACAGAACTGCCAGAGATCCACATGGCAAGTTGGAAGCAATATTGTCACTTGCAAAATTTAGGGCCCTGTGTGGGACTTAACCTCTCAACCCAATGAAGAGACCTCAACAATTAATTTCTACAACTCCAAAAGCCTAAGTGTCACTTCCTCAAGGAGGGTTTAATCACGGGACATTTTATATACATAAGCTCAAGAATATACTCAACTCCCTGACCTTGTACTTAGGGCAACTAATGTCACAACTTCCCTGCAATGCTAAGGAACATTTCTGAAATGCTAGCTTTTAAATTCCTCAGATTGGAGCCGGAGTAAGCCTTCCAGGAATTATGGCTGCAAAATGTGGCGCTGAAGTAACACTGTCTGATAGTTCGGAGCTGCCTCACTGCCTAGAAATCTGCCGTCGGAGCTGTGAAATGAACCGCCTGCCACAGGTGCGCATCGTGGGACTGACGTGGGGCCACATGTGTCAGGACCTGCTGGCTCTGCCACCACAAGACATTATTCTTGCATCTGATGTGTTCTTTGAACCAGAAGGTAAGCATTTTCAGCTCAACAGTAAATTTGGCTGAAGGGGATGTTAAGTTCTATTAAGGAAGCCCTTTCTTCCCAGACTTTGAAGACATCTTAACTACCGTATACTTTTTGATGCAAAAGAACCCCAAGGTCCAACTGTGGTCTACTTACCAAGTAAGAAGGTAAGCCCGCACAATCCTGGTTTAGTCTGTTTTCTTAAGGGCTAAATTTGATTGCCACACGGGTCATGATCTCACAGCTCAGGAGATCGAGCCTCCCATATTCGGGTCCTGCTTGGATTCTCTCCCCCCATCCCCTGCTCATGTTTTCTGTCTCAAACATTTAAAAAAAAAAAAGACTAAAAATAAAATGCAACGTATCTAAAACAAAACAGGAAAAGCACGATTTCAAAAAAAACAAATTTATTTTTCAGTGCTGACTGGTCACTTGAAGCTTTGCTCTACAAGTGGGATATGAAATGTGTCCACATTCCTCTGGAGTCTTTTGATGCAGACAAGGAAGATATAGCAGAATCTGCTCTCCCAGGAAGACATACTGTTGAAATGCTGGTTATCTCCTTTGCAAAAAAGGACAGTCTCTGAATTACACCTACACACAGGCTGTTCTGGGACAGTGTCAATACTGATTTGCAACCTGGCATGCCAGTTAGGACTGGGACCATTTTAGCTTCTTGGGAGTACAAGCATTGGATTTGAAGATGGTCAGATCTGTTGGGCTTACAAGACTGTGGTGGGCCACCTGGACAACACTCATGGGTTACAAAGCCATGAAAAAAATAAACACCTGTAAGAAAAAGGACTTGGATTTTCTTTAAAAATCAACAATAGGACACATATTAGACTATGACAGAAAAGGGTACCCACAACCTCCAGAAAGTGCTACTTGAGAGCACTGATTTAGGGGTAGTGGGTGCAGAGATGGCATTTCTACTTTTTAACTTATGATAAAAAAAAAAAGTCAACCACTAAACATTTCACTTTCATACTTTTAACAGTCAGTAACAGTTCAAAAGATAATTGCACAGGTCTTTCAAACATAGGGGGAAAAAAGACCAAGACATATTCTGAGAAAAGCTAACACCAAGAAAACGTTTTAATTAAACTATAGAAACAATGGTTATAGTACAGAATATTCATGAGCAAAAGATACACCATGTCATAAGTACTTACAAAGTTACAAACCATTTGCTTCCTTAACATTTTCCATATTTAAGTTCATACATGAAGATGATCAGATTTACCATGGGGGGGGGGGAAGGGAAGAAAAAAAAAGGTGTGTTTATCATCAGCTAGATGTGCTCACTGTATGCTCCGTTATTTATATGCAAGGCCCGGGTGACTGGAAGTGCAGTTGTCAGGCATTTTAATAAACTGGACAGCCATTTGTTTCTGCACGACAAGGCAGCTTTACACAGGAGCAACCAGGAGAAAACAGGAAACAGCCAAGCACTCTGCACTGCAACACGCCACCTTAACAGCTAACCAGCATTACTCAACTGCTACACAACTGCGCCTAGTGCACAAAAATACACAAGAGAAGAGATTAGAATTGTGTTTGGTAAACAATCCTTCCAAAAAATCAAGTCTTTTCACCTGAAAAGTCTTTATACAAATTTGGGTTCAGATTTACCACTTAGATCTGAAGGTAAATAACATATACAAACAAATTTACACCAACTTTTGTAGCTTTTTAATTTTAAGGAATGAAGGCAATGTTGAGTCAATCTCTTGACAGCTTTTAGGCTGTGTGTAATGGCTGCACACGTTTCCTTAAAAGTCAGGAGGCCACAAATTAGGTTACCAATCTGTTTAATTTCAAACAAAAAAAGTCAGCACTATATAAACAAAAAGGAAAATTTACCTCAAATATCCAAGCCAATAATGAAATCTGAAGTCGTTCACCTCACTAAATTACAAGAAATTTGAATAACAGCAACAAAATGGCACATAAAATGAAGTTTGCCACCTGAGGCAAAGCTTAAAACAAGTAAAAAGTTAGACAAAATGTTACAAAATAACCTTTTCAATAGCCAGTTGCTTGTTCCAAGGACTCTCTCGGATGGACTGAGCTGTGGTCCTTTTCCCCCAAGTCTTCCTTTTAGTTACGTTGCTTGTCGACACATCTAGGTTTGAAAAGAAAACAGTTCAGTTTACCTTCCCTCACTGTAATGGGGGAGAGAGAGCGCACATGGTTTCAGTTTCAGGCATGTGCTTACTAAGGCTCTGGTGAAACAAGTAGGTTACGGAAAGGTTCCACCTGGCCATTGTCAGTGTTTTTTTTTTTTAAGGCCCAATTAGGAAATTTTCACAAAGGCTAACCATCCGTTTTTACAAATTTGTGTTTAGGCAATGTTGGCCAAATAACCAAGGTGAAAAATAAGGGGAGGGGTTAAAAAAAAAAAAAAAGAAATTAAAAAAATTAAAAAAAAAAAAAAAAAAGGGACTGTATCCAAACCAAAACTTGAAATCAGAAAATCAGTCTATTTTAAGATGTTTCGTTTTCAAATGAAACATTTGGCAATTGAGAGAATAAAGACTTTATATGTCTCGAGCTACTTAGGGCCCTTTCCTTTTTAAAAAATAGGACCAAACAATTTGAGAGTTAAAGACACACTATCCTTTCCCCACCCAGTGCAGTACCTGTGAACTTTTTGGGGGTTCCAAAAGCTCATTGCTCCGTTTTGCAATTCGTTTGCCACATCCATTAGAATATGAAGTCCCAGTCAGCACAACAATAGTTGAACTGATTGTTTTCTCTAAGAGGATAGTGCATCTTTAACATTTAAAGACAAACCTGCTCCAATACACGCCCACAGAAACTGGTCCCTGGAGGATCAGCCAAATCAGTTAAAATCTGCAATACTGGCCAATATTCTTTTATCAAACAGGAGACCGCAGCTTTAAAGGGGAAAATGCAGACGTTGGATAAAAACAGCAAGAAATAGTCATTTTCATCAATAGGTCTCAAACAGTTTCACGAAACAGCCACTTATTATCTAAGCTCCACGCACATCCTCTCTGCAGACCCCGCTGTTCCGAACTACGCCCGAAGCCGAGTTAGCTCCCAGCAGCGCTCCCGACGCCGGGAGCCCCTCTTCCATCACCACGGCTCATCAAAGACTACCGCGAACCCCATCTTTGCGTTCGGGTCGTGGGTCTCGGATCCCCACGGGACATTACCATTTGCTTAAGAGGACACCGCGCCTTCCTCCTCGGGAGACTTGGGGGGGCTCTTGGAGCGCGACCTGGACTTGGACTCCCTCTTGGACACGGGCGGCGGACTCCTGGACCTGGACCTGGACCGGGAGCGCGATCGCGACCTGGACACCGACGAGGACTTGGACTTCGATCTTCGCGCCGACCTGGACTTCGAGGTGGACCGCGACCTCGAGCGGGTGCGGGACCGGGACTTGGAGCGGCTGTAGCGTGAGCGGCTGCGGGACCGGGAGCGGCTGCGACTCCGCGAGCGGCTGCGGCGGCGCCGCCGAGGGCTGCGGGGCGGGGCGGGCGGGGCGTCAGGGCGGCCGCCGGGGCCTCGGGCCGCGCGCCCCGCCCGCCCCGGCCGCCATTACCGCGCCGCCCGTCCGGACGCCATTTCCCCGCCGCGGCCGCCCGCGCGCCCGCCCGCCGCCGCCGCCACGTGTCCCGCGGACCTTTGTGACCCCGCCCGCCGCCCCCGCTCCCCCCAGGCCTCCCCCCCCACCCCGCTCACCTGCGGCTCCGGCGTCCGTAGCCGCCGCCCCCGTACCGGCGGGGTGGCGGGCCCCGGCGGCTGTGGTGCGAGTCCGGGGGGCGGCCGTAGCGCGCCATCTGCACCCGCAGCTCGCGGCCGTCCAGCACGGCCCCGTCCATGGCGTCCATGGCGTCCTCGGCGTCGCGCTTGTCGTGGAAGCGGACGAAGGCGAAGCCGCGGGACTCCTTGGTGTAGCGGTCCCGCGGGATGTACACGTCGCCGACGCGCCCGTACTTCTCGAACACGCGCCTCAGGGTGTCGGGCGAGGTGCGGTAGGTCAGGTTGTCCACCTTGAGGGAGGTCATGCCCTCCACATCGGGAGGCGGGCGACCGTAACTCATGGCCCTGGAGGTTGGGCCGGGGGCCGCGACTGCGCGCCGACAAACGAACGCCCTGGGCGGGCCCGCGCGCTCGGCCGCGGCGGCGGCTTCCTCGGACTAGACCGGCTCGACGCCGCGCCGCTGGCAGTCGGCTCCCGCGTGGGAGCGCTGGGAGAGGCCGGACGGGGCGACGCAACCGAACCACCCAGAGCCCGTTCCGGCTGAGAAACAACTGGGCGGGCGGTCGGCCTCAGCGTCCGTTTATAGCCCTCCTCACAAAATGGCGCCCGCGCCACCCGGAAATGAATCCCCTGATTGGCTCGCCCCGCCCCGCCCCGCATCGCCGCGGCCACGCGCCCCGCCCCAGCCCAGCGCGCCTGCGCAGAGCCCGGCGGGCGGGCCGAAAAGCGCGGAGTCACTGTTGCCGGGAGGGGGGAGCGGAATCAGCGGGCAGTTGGAAAGCCCGCGAAACGCTCTTTCCGGCTGCGAGGCCGTGCGGCCGCTCTCCGGCAGGTGGGACAGGAAGCACTCTCCTTCTAGGCTCCGCCTCCTTTTCATGCCACTATCCGAGTTCCACGGAGCTTTTCTGGTCGGACCTCCACCGGAGGTTCTGGCCTCGGTCAGAGGGGGTGCCTCTTCTCCCCGCCCCCGTTTGCCCCGCTGTCTCCAGCCTTCTGAGACGCCGCTCCGTCGCCTCCCGGCTCCCTCCCGCAGTTCCCGACTCCTTCGCTGGGCTCCGCTTTGTAGCCCCTCCTTCGCTGGGGCGCGCAGGCTCGGCCCCGCTTCCCTCACGGCGCGCCTTCCCGCCTCGGGCCGCGCAGGACTACATTTCCCAGCGGGCCGTGCGGGCGGCGCCGAGGATTACGGTCAGGTGACCGGGTCGCGTGGCCCGCGGTGAGTCAGGGCCCGGCGGGCGGGGCCGCGCCGGCCGCTGCACCTCGGCCCCCTAATCCCCCTTGCGGGCCCCTCAACCTGGAGCCCCGGCGTTGTTGGCACTTCTCGGGGTGCTGGGCTCTTCCGTGCGCGGATCGGACCCTAGGAATGCCCTGACTGCGCGTGGGGAGAACTTCCCCCTCGGCCGGGGATTCTGACCCCAGAACTGAAGTTGACAGCTCGGCACCTTGCTCCTGGATCCGTCTGCTCTTCTCACCGCCTCCTTTCCTTCGCCAGGATTGTCATCGGGTTCGCCCCGAGGAGAGCTGACCGCCCCGGGCCGCTGCTGACCTTCGGCAGAGTTGAGCCAAAATGTCCCCGGAATCCAAAAAGCTTTTCAACATTATTATTTTAGGGATCGCCTTTATGTTTATGTTCACCGCCTTTCAAACTTGTGGAAATGTGGCGGTGAGTCGGGATCTGCTCTCCCTCCTTTGAAGTGCCTACCGTAACGCATTCCAAAAAATGATAATAAACGCTAATTACATCGGACAGCGTGCTTAAGTCGCACCTTTTATTTTTCTCCCCTACCCTTCCTCGTTTTTTATGCTTAAGTTTAATTTGATGTGTCAGACGTGCCTTAATACTGTGTCGGGATGGCGTGTTCAAGAGCACGGCTTCTTCCTCTGATCTGACTTGGGGTTTGTAGGTTGACCTGTTATTTCTTGTCCATATTAAGGTCTGCATTAGTACTGGGAGAATTGAGAAAAAAACAAACAAACCCAAGACATAGTTATAGCTGATTTGTACCCCCTTCCCTGTCATCGGTTTGCCTTTTCCTGTTTTGTAGCCCCTTTTTTCCTCTCATAGTTG